GTCCATGGGAAGATCAAACAGGAAGTGGAACGCACACGTATGCAAGGTAGCTTCATTGAAGTCACGTACGGATCCTCAAACAATCTACTTGAGCTGACTTCATTATTGGCGCTTGTCATTTTGACAGCACTTTGCTCAGCCTTTGTTGAAGCATCAATTGGTCCAGTACAGCGCTTCTGCAGGCCTTTTCGCAGTTCGTAGTCGTCGGTTGGTTTCCATATGAGGAACAATCAACGAACTGTAGACTCGTCAAGATAAAAGCACCTGCTAAACCTTATAACGTTACCACCTTTTGTTGTCCATGTCGCTAATTGTTGTCTTTTGGTATGCAAGGACGAGAATTGTTGTCCGGGACGTGTTTTACCGTAATCGCTGAACTTGGTCTTTTCACAACACTCAAATATATCAATAGTATTTAGGCTTTGGAAGTGAAAAACCGTTCAGCATTTCAAAAGGACGTAGATTCACAAGATGGACGTAAATGTTGCGAGAACTTGCAAAAAGCTATCTATCTATCCAGGGTAGCAGGCACCAATTGCGAGGACTTCTGCCAAGAAGGGGACCAGCACGGTACCGTCAGTACCTCATCTGTTGAAAAGCCATACCGCACCACCGGCACACATCGTGATCATCCTTCCAAACTTGCTCAACACACTATCCGCTTGAAGGAACAGGCATGCCGGACCCAAGGCAAAGCCAAATGAACAGGGCCTAATTCTTGGCAGGTGCCAGACTTCGCAGATGAGGCATAGCACTGGCCGAAAGCAGTAAAGGCGGGCATGTGTCATAGGGCAGACAAGAACACCATCATATCATCCAAGAAAAACAGGTGTCATTCTTTCGGGGTGCTTTTCAATATCCAGACCTCCATGTTTAATTGTTCCTGTGGTGGATGGATAGATGCAAGGAATAGCTGTGTTTTTCTGACCAAGTTATTCATGAGGACCCATGTTGCGGTTCCTCAGGATTCTGATGAATTCAGCTGGCGGTTCAAGTCGGCTAACCATCTGACTTAGCAAGGTCCAGCGTTGATGAACGGTTTTGCTTCCAATGATACCAACATCTCATTTGCTCTACCCCATTCTGTGGTTTGACAGCCTGCCGACTTAGTTAGGTCGCAAAAGTGGAGATTGACCAGGAGTGCAAATGCCGCTGGCAAAACACAACAATGCCGCACTCACAGTGGCCATTTCAACGTCCTTCGTGTGCTAGTTGGCCCTGTTGCAGCGTTCCTCATGATGTCGAAGCATGAAGCCACATTTCAGAACGCAGCACCCGTATCATTGGGCTTGACCAGATGCCATCTGAAGTCACCTGTCTGAGTTTGAGTGAGTTGAGTCATGCCTCTTCAGACTGCCCAACGGACCGCAAGACACACCACCATTCACCTGGAGAGTTCACAGCCTGTCCAACCTTCGTAAGTTCACTCCAAGCTCCAACAGTATACTGTATACTGTATACGAACGTAAGAAGTCTGGTATGACACCCAGTTATCATGCAGTTCTATACCCCCAGTGTGATGAGATCTTCCACGAGCTTCTCCCATGCTGTGCCATTCCGTCCGTCCTTGCTTCGTCCGGTCGGTCTCCAGGACTGCCCTGTCACCTCCGTCGCAGTCGCCTGCAGCTGGGCTCGGACCCAGGCCGCTTCGTCGTGGTCCGAGCTCGGCCCAAGCGAGCCGATCAGCTCGGCGCCATCAGCTGGCCCGCCAAGCTTGATCGGACCCGCTCGTGCGGCGGAGGTTTTGGGGATCCTGGTCGAAAGTGGGCGATGCTTCAGACGTTCCATGAAACCTGCCCGACCCTCAAAACCAATAATATAGGGATTGGTGAAAAAAAACCAGCTAGACACCTGACCCCAGGATTTGGGTCCAGGTCGCGGCTGGGTGACAACACTTCTCCTTGCAACATGTCACGAGTCTCACTGTGACCGCTTTGGCAGGATCATGCTGATCGTGCTCCAACACCTCCAAATCGTGCAGATACAAAGCTCTCAGGGATCTTTCGGTCCAGTGTCAAGCAGCTAACATACTGATCAGTTTGGTCTTCAAAGTCAATGCGCAGCCCGCGACTGCACCAGTATCAGTACTAAACATGACAAAGACATGGCAGGGGTCAAGCAGTTCAAGCCTGTTCTCACTCGGCACGGGCGTGCCCATGAGACTATGGTTTTTAGAGCTTTGATCGAGAGCCTTTGTCGTGTTCGACCAACGGTTTGGAGCTTCGTTTGGCGCCCTCAGGGCGGTTCGACAGAGCGAACATGGTGTCAGGACAGGTTGCGTGCTGTGCTGGGCCGCTTCTGCGAGACATTTGACGTTAAGCCGAAACGTCTGGGAGCCATTTGAAAAGACCGAATCCTTGCGAATGCAGGTTGAACGTTGCTTCGTGTGAGCGACTCTCTTTCTTGAGTCCATCACCCTTCGCGGAGGCCAACAATGTAATCACCACCTTCACAGTGAGCTCTTTGGAGTCTCTAAGTGGCCTTTGACCTCTGAAAAGGTCACTCTGAAGGTCCTGCATGGTACACGTGAATAACACTTAGAGGGGCCCAACCTCGGCCCCACCTCCACGTTCCCGTCGCGAAAGCGGTTGGCTCCTTCCCACCATTCCGGCGCCATGCTCCCAAGCTGCCAAAATGGAGGTTGAAACGGTTCGCTGTTGCCTGAGGGTTTCAAGTTGAAATCGCAGCCTCCCCTCAATCCAAGGTTTTGAGGACTAATGAACCTTGACCAATTGACCGCTGTTGGCTCTTCCGAGTGCCTTTCCCTGACCATGAGCACCAGGCGAAGCATTTCATGGCTGGCCACAAGCTTCGGCTTTCAGATGGTCCGACCGGGTTCAGGAAAACCTCCATGCGACAGGAACATTTGGACACCGAATCAAAGCACTAGGGTATTGAATTCTACAGAAACATTCAAGTATGCACTAGGGTATCAACCATTCAAGTTGAGATGTTTTAGCACAAGAGATTTCTGTAAGGCATTGAATGATAGAGAAGGCTGCGACAACTCTTGGAAGGGATATCATGCACCAGTCTTGCCCACGCTGTGTTTTTTTCGGCAGAAGTCGATCTGAGGGGGTTGTCCCACTTCTGTCGGCCAGACCTTCCCAAGCGATTGGATAGGAACTGGTTGAAAGACCAGATCCAAGCAAGACTTGACGATTCAGAGACGAGATGATTCTCACGCAGAGTGTCAGACCTCGATGTCGATGTCAAGTCACGATTGCTTTAAGGACTCAGATGTCAGTGCAACCATTCACTTGAATTCAGTTGCTTTCATGACCTGACTTGCATCGCAGATACGCCCTTTTTCCTCGCAGAACTGACACGTTCGGCTGAACACCTACGCCGGCAGTGCCTCGAGGCGGCCGGCAGACTGGAGGCGAAGTGGAGCAAGCCGAAGTCTCGACGTGTCTCAACACATGGATAGGAACCTGTCTCAACAGAGTGGTTTTCGCACGTGGAATGCCTGAAGTCTGATGATGTTTGATGTTCTTTTGAATGCCTGAAGTGTTGGAGGAAGCTGACGTGTCGGTGGTCGAAGGTCAATGACGATGATCATGTGGCGATGTCGACAGGGGACTCCCAGTCGTGGCCGCCGCCCAAGCCCAGCCCAGCCCTGTTCCCCACGTACGGCTGAGTGTTCCGCTGAGTGTTCCACGCGGCCGCAGGGCACCTTTATCCAGCAGTGTTAGAGAATTGCAGCAGAGCATCCACCTGGTTTAGCCTTGAAGTAGTTCAAGCAAAGAGTTAGCTCTTAAAGATGTGGCATGAGAGTTAGCCCTACCAGGATCTCCCACCAGGTCACCACCTGCGAAAGGCAATTTTGCCTCCAGAGCAGACCTGTTGGAGGTGGCTGGTAGGGAGTCAATTGAAATCTCTTGGAACCTCTGAAGTCCCAAAACCATTCTTCTTCGCATGGCCCCAGCGCCATGCACGGCTCTAACTTTGGGCTTGAACGGTGATGTGGAGTTGTGCCGATTTGGATGTGGATGCCCAGAACTTCCAACGACTCATTGTCTCCACCCTGGTAGGTAAAAATAGATCATTTGGACTCCCAGGCGCTTGTCTTTTGCAGGTGCTGTGCGTCACAACATGAGTGGACGGCCAAGCAGGGCTGTGCTTTAACAGCGCCCAACCAGTCGTACCACGCATCCCGTCGTTGCCTCCAGTCTTCTGCGGAGCGAACATGCAGTGACGACCGATCGACGTTTTTCGCTCGTCCACTGCAGTCGGACGGCTGGTCTCGAATTTGGACCGAGTTGCTGTTCATGCCGTGCGGGAAGCCTTTGCGGTTGCGGCCCAAGCGTTGGGCGGATCTGGTGCGGGACAAAGGTTCGCCAAGCTTTAGGGGGAAACGATGGGAAACGGGAAATGAAAATTGTTTGACCCCCAGGAAGCAGGCTCCTGCGGGCTTTGCCATGGCCTGCTGGTGGTTTGATGTGGTGGTTTGGGGGCTGCGCACCTGCAGCTGTCGTTCTTCTCTAAGATTCCCCTCAAACACAAAGGGTTTTGAGGGTCCGGACCCCTGCGTTTAGGTCCAAAAAGTCCAGGTTTCAGGTTCTTCTGCTGAGTGGATCGTCTGTTTTTGAGGACCCGCCACAGCTCACGACCCCACCCAGTTCACCACCAGCTGGGTTTGGTATTTTGGAGACCTTTCCGGGCCCATCTGGCACTGGCCCCATGGATGGAAGTCTCTTTTTAGATGTTCCCAGAAGTCGATCTGGAAGGTCTCCCTATGTCTTCGAGTCTTCCTCTTCAAAATACACACCCAGCTGGGGGGTCATCTGGTAGGGCTGGTAGATGATCATCCTGCCGGAAGGGGTGGGTCAAGTAGATCCAGGCTCGGTCTGTTTGCGGTTCTTTCTGACTCGATCCCAAGAGACTGATCGTGGACCGATACAGGCCTGTGAAAAGACCGGAGGGTGGCGACAGTGCTAGACCTTAGAGGCCTTAGCGCGCCTCTCACCCCATGCACTCACCGCGTCGCCACCCGCCAGGGCCGCGTACGGATCCAGTGTCAAGACCAAGTGCTGAGCAGCAACTGGACCTATGCAGGAGCCAAGTTCCACCAAGCCAGAACGGACTTCCCCCCCTCGACGGCGAGCCGGAGAGAGTTCAGAGGTTGGGGCCAATGTAGGTCTAAAATCCATGCAGACCTGTTCCACGAGTCACATGATGGAGTTGGGTGGTGCGCCTCGACCCTCCATGGATCGCACGGTGGTTGTGTTCGGTACAACTACAGATGAACTCCAGGTGTGTCTTGATCCTGGACGGCACTCCAGCAGTCAAAGATTGTTTGTGAAAATCCAACAGACTGGACCCCTACAGACTGGAAGATGATGTTCTGAAGACCAACCCAGACGTGGTTGGGGTCCAAGCTGCCATGTGTCCCTGCCTTGAGCTCCAGGATGCTCCAGGTATGTGTCGACCTTCACTTCGTCCAGACTTCACCACAGAACGGCAACTGGAAGTCCGGTCCGTCCGTACCTCCCCACGCGTCTCGCGGTCCGGTCTTTACGGCGAGCCCCGGTCTCTTCACCGGCTCGGACCTCGTTGGACCGATCATGGCTCTCGCAACCAGTTCCAGGAGCCACGGTCACGACGTGGAAGCCTCAGCTCGTGAGTCCAGCGGACGTGAACGCACGCGTGAGTCCGTCCAGCGGTTTCGTCTTTCGGGGTTGAGCAGGTTTGTACCATGGTGTTTGACCCGGTGTTGGCCCCTGGTGAGTCCCTGGTTCATGTGCCCCAAAAAACACTCCATGGTGGTGTCTTCTGGAATATTTGACATAGATTGACCCTACTGAACTCCATCTGAACGAGACCACCCACATCTACAAACTCTAAGTCATGGCGTCAACGATTTATTCACTTCGACTCGGAGCGATGCCGGCCTCGAGCGCCTGGAAACAAAGACGATGTTCCCCTGGTCAGGGTTCGTTCCAACAACCATTGTTTGAGTGGTCTGAATCCCCAAGAACCATCAAAGAACCGTTGTTTTTACTGAGGATTTTACTCTGCAAAGCCAGGTCTTTTGCGTTTGAAAAAGGCTCTTGAAAGACGATCTTCCTCCACCAACACGAGGATCAAATCCTCTCTGTCCCATGCAGCGCACTTCGAGCGTTCCTTCCTTTTGACCGGTGTGAAATGCGCGTGCAATACAACTCTTCGAGCCTTCAAGTCACATCAAGGACAAGGCCATCTCTGCCTTTGAGTGTGCCTTCCATTTCTCGAGTAAACTGTTTCTTTGTTCCCGGTGTACGGTACGGTGATTTTTTGTGTTCACGATGATTGATCAGTTTGCCTTTGTACGAAATCCGAAGCTTACTCTTCCAGATCTTTGGATTGTCAAATGATCAATAATCTAGGCAAGTGCTTACTTCCTGACAGCTGAGCGGCAACTGTGGCACAACATGGCACAACAAAAGAATAGTGCATTGCGGTTACAGTACTTTTGGCGGGTGGGCACTCGAAGTAGAGTATGGTTTTTTTCCCCACCTGCCAGGTGAGGGTTGTTAGATTTTATCACAGCTGTTCTTCCTCCGCCTCCGCCTCCGCCTTTGCCTCCGCCTCCGCCGCCTCCTCGTCCTCCTCCTTCCTCCTTCCTCCTTGCTTCCTTCCTCGCCAATCTGCTTCGCCGATCTTGTCTGGCCAGCTCCGGAAAAATAAAAAAACAAACAAAGTGTGCGAGATAAAATCCACAAAAAACACCCACAAACACACGACCACAAACGCGCAACCACAAACACACAACCACAAACACAATCACAAACCCACAATCACAAACACAATCACAAACACACAACTACAAACACAACTACAAAGACACAATCACAAACACATAACCACAAACACAAAACCACAAGCACACAACCACAACCACACAAACACACAACCACAAACACAAGTACAAACACACAATCACAAAGACACAACCACAA